AGATAATGGGCCAATCAGTTTATAACCTAATGTAGACTCTCTGTGTGATTTTCTTTGGGAGCTTACTGGCTGTGGGAAGTGGGCAGGACATAAACCCCAACAAGCCACCCCTCCTGCTACATAAGGAATGCTGGGAAGAAGAAGGTCAGAGTCAAGATGCCATAGTTCTCCTGCCTGAGACGGATGCTGGTTAAACTCATGCCAGTAAGCCATAGTCAAATGGCAATAGACGTTAATGGAAATGGGTTAAATCAAGATGTGAGAGTTAGTCATTAAGAGTCTAGAACTAATGGCCAAGCAGTGTTTTATTTAATATAATTTCTGTGTGATTATTTCAGGGATTAAGCTAGCTTGGCAGGTTGGAACAAAGGGGCCCCGCACTCATACTACAGAGTGGCACCCAACGTGGTAAACTGAGTCCACATAAAAGCTGAGAGGGCTTGAAAAGGAATTCTAGACACAAATATAGAGTTTAACACAGTTTTTTGCTGTTTGCTGGCGGTGTGCCACAGAGAGATTTTCCTGACTCAGAAGGGGAAAAAAAGTTGTGCCATTTTAAAACAAGGCTTCCTGGGCCCTACCGCTGGTGCAAACTCTGGCTATGGAGCATTTGTGGGCCCGGATGTTTGTGTACCCACTTGGGGTCCGTAACAAAGTACCTGAGACCATGCCTGTGGCTTGGTGCTCCCTGCCTGGGCAGGCAGCCAAATCAGGTCTACTAGGCTTGGGCAGGTGGAAGAGCATGGTGGATTCCCACCACCATACAGAGAGATGTTTTCAGGCTGCACAGTGCTCTGTGTGGCAGATTTGGCTGTAACTCAGAAGCGTCTATGTGCTGCACACTCATTCTCGGGGTTTGACTGCTGAGTGTGGCTCCTGCCAGGCGGCCCTAGAGCTAGCAGAAATGGTATGTCCACCATTTTGAAATTGGAGAGAAGTGGAGCCAACATCCAGAGCATCTGCAACCAAGCTGCTTAGCTTTTAAAATCTCTTCAAGACAGAAGAGAATTAAAGACAATGCAATAGGACAGATTCAGACATAAAAGACCTCTAAATGGGTCATAGTGTTAGATAAAAATGGAGGCTTGGGAGAGAGAAGAAAAGGAGTATAGAAAGTCATAAAATAAAGTTAGTGCTTAAAAAGGGGTAAAGTCTTTAAAGAGACAGAGTGCAGATAGTCATAGATTTAAAAGATAAAGAAAAATAAGCCATGTAAAAATGAAAAATTCATAGAGAGTCTGGATTATGCATATTATTGCTTTTTCTTTGAATTTTTTGACTGTGAAGGAGCTAAGTACAGAAAAGCATTTCATTAAATGGGCTGCTAAGCTAAACCAATATGTATATTATAAAGATATCTTGACTTCACAATTTTGGCCTAAGAATATGATGCTTTGGAAAAGAGGTTCTTGTTTTGTTTTCACAGAGGATGAGACCCTGTGGATTGCTTCTAGACCAATATGGTATGATAGACCACGCCCTCCTGAAAGGTTCCCGTAAACACCCTCAAAAACTTACTTTGCTCAACTGCCAACTGAGATAAATCTAGCATACAGGATACACCATAAAAGACCTGATTAGCAGTGCCCCCATACAGCACAAAGCAGTTTGGAGAGAGAAAACTACATCCATATTCCCAAATATTGTTTACAAATGTTCTTTTACATTTAAAGGGGGATATGATATAGATATGAATAATTTGCATTGGTATGGATTTTGCTTTATTGATATAAATTTAAGGTCAATTTTGTTATATGTATATGTATTTTGGATCTAGATTAAGGTATTGTGATTGTGTAGTTCATTTAAAAAGTGTAATGTATAATTAAGAAATATAGATTAATAGATCATTTCTATAATAGTCAAGTTTGTAGTCATGTTAATTAGATTTTCTAGATGTGCATAGATATATTTCAGATAGGCATTCTTCACATCTTTCAAAGACTACAGAATATGGCATTTAAATTATTTTAATAATTTAGAGCTTTTCATGACAGTGAGACACGTCTGCTCCTGGCAGCACCAATCTACTTCAAGAGGAAGATGGGCATTGAAGAGGCTCCTTATGGAGTTTGATAGCCATTTGGGCAAGAAACTGCTCTTGCTTGGACTGTTGCATAAACTGGACACAGAGAACCTGCAGAGAGAGGACTGCTGAACTTGCCTAAAGGTGAGATGATCCTTTGGGGTTCCTGATTCCTGAAAGAGTCTGCAAGACATTCTACAGGACACAGAAAAAGGTGACTGAACTGTCTTTAAAATTTCCTGCTTCATGGAAATGTTTGCTGGATACTATGGTCCTGTAGGCTGAAGAAATGGTACAGAAAAATTTTGAGTGACTGTCCAGGAAGCGAGATGTCTCTATCATTTCTAGAGTTTTGGAAGTTGCTTATAATGCACTTCCTGTTTACTTAGGTAATATTATCTCCTTCTGGAGTTTTTGACAGAGTTGAAGAATTTATAGATATAGTTTTCCTCAGTTATGATAAAAAGATAAAGTAGACATAAATATTGTAACTGTAATTCTTGCTTGATAACTATTTTGCTATATGTAATTTACTATGTTAAAGTGAAAGCCTTTCTTTTTTGTTTAAACAGAAAAAGGGGAAAGGGTGTAGGAGGTCCTTCTGTTTATGTGTTGCTTTCATTGGATAATTAATAAAGAAACTCCTTGGCTTGATGGGGCAGAACATAGGTAGGCGGGGTAATCAGAACAGGAGTATTCTGGGAAAAAGGAAGCTCTTTCCACAGTCCTGTTCAGACACCAAAGAAGCAGGATTTGACCTGCCCCACTGAAAAAGGTACTGAGCTATGTGCTAATGGGCCTGAACTAATGGGCCAATCAGTTTTATAACTTATGTAGACTTCTCTATGATTCTTTGACTCTTCTTTGACTCTATGATTCTTCTCTATGACTTCTCTATGATCCCACTGGCTGTGGGAACTGGGCAGGACAGAAACCCCAACAAGCAGCCCACTCCTCATGTTACAAAGCCAGGGCACAGTCTAAGGCAAGAGATGTGTGATGCCTGCAGGAGGCAGGAGATGGGTGACAGGGCTGTGGGTGCAGAGACAGCACAGGCTGATGCACCTTGGAACTTTGGGAAGGCTGCTCCATAAGGAGCTACACAGACAGAGGAGGACAGGTACAGGACCCAGCTAGTGGGTGTATAGAGGTTTTCAGTGAGAAAGAGGTTAAACAGGAGAGTGAGGGAGTGACTCTCCACACATGTGATCAGGCCAGGGGTTCTATAAGCCAGCAACCCATGAAAGCTGGTCCTCTAATGCCTGCTCACCTGGAAACTCACAGTAGGAGCACTGGGAACTGAGGAGTGGCTGTAGACACCCGTCTCCTCGGCTCCCATGGCCTGCATGGCTTCTGAGGCTCTTCTCTCAGAACCCCAGGCCAGTCTCTTCCTCCTTCCTCTTCCTGCCTTTCTTTCTGGTGCTCCAGAGGACCCAGAACCAAAGTAGGTGAGATGGCTGGGAGTGGTATACAGCAGAGGGGTCAGACAGGCCAGGGATGCACCTGCCTTGCAGAGCTAACTGTTGCTGAGCTAAGGGCCATAGAGACTGGAATCCCCTGCTCAAAGCTCACTGTTTTGGCCAGAAGAAAAAGGTAAATTAACTATGTGGCCATAGTTGTGCGTGCTCCAAATTGTTCGCAGCATAGCTGCAGATGCATGTCTGCTCTGCTTACAGTGATGCATGCTACCAGGTCTGCACTCAGCACCCTTGGACTTCTTACTCCATGCTGGGAGGGGTGAGGAGGAGATGTCACCTCAGCGAGCAGTTCAGCTGCTGAAAGCCACCTTTCCACGGCCCATGTTCCTCCTAGACACCTGCCTCGCCACTGACTGACACTGCTCTCTAAAGTCTTAGCACCCTGTGCCAGCTTGGTCAAAGGCTTCCCCTGCCTCTCAGACCTCCTCACACGGGGCCTGGGCTTCCTCACTGCATGTAGAGCCGCACACATCTGTTACTTTCCTCCCCAGAGTCCTTCTCAAGTCCTGTGCCATCTGGGTCACCCCTGGTCCCCTGCATCCAAGCTGCTACACAACATTGTCATTTAAAGGGGCTTCCCTGTTTCTATAGTATTTTAATTTGGTTTTTGTTGTTGTTGTTTATTTTGAGACAGGGTCTCATGTAGTCCAGACTGAACTTGCTGTGTAGCCATGGATGAACTTGCTGTGTAGCCATGGATGAACTTGACCTCACGCCCTCCAGCCTCCACCCTCCACCTTCTAAGGTCTAGGATTAGAGTCACACACCAGCATGTCTGTCTGGTTCTCTGCCTGCTTATCTGCTAACTATGAAAAGCTAGTGACTTTTTGTAGGTTGTGTAATAACAATTTTATTTATTTAAAGTTTTCGCGTATGTATAAGTCAGAGGAGAACTTTTGGGAGTTGGTTCTCTCCTTCTATCAAGTGGGTCACGGAGCTCAAACCTAGGTTATCGGTCTTGGTAGCAAGTGTCTCTGCCTGCTGAGCCATCTTGCTGTCCTGTGACAGTTATTTTTGAAATACATTTGAGGAGTACAGTCTTTCTAGTGACATTAGCAGTGACTGTGACATGTTGGGAAGCTGGGTATAAGGGGGTGACACAGGGCTGGGGCTCCCCTTTCTCTTCCCTCCTGAGCTCTCTCCGTTCATACCCAACTTTGCAGTCCCCAGTACTAGTCAGGACCCCCCTGATCTTCCATTCCTGAGAATGCATGTCCACCCCTTTCTCCCCATCCCCTCTAGTCCACATGGGACTTCCTGGTCCCCAGGTGAGCTAATCAGCAAAGTTCTGACCCCTGAGAGCAAGGCGGGCTTAGAGTTCTAGCCAGGTCTCCAAAGGGCCTCTGGTTCTGTCACCTGCCTTCAGTGGGAGGCAAACTTAGGTAGGAAACAGACGCTTGAGACTAAACAGGAAGAGAGGAACTTATGGGTGGTGCTGAATAGAAATGAACACGACTCTTACTTCCCTGTGGTTTCTTCCTGGACTTTCTCAGCTTTCCTCACCCCAGTCTTCTGAGGCAGGAGACTACACTATCTCTGTGAGCCTTTATCTAGTTCAGTTTAGAAGCCTCAACACCAAGCCTATGACTGGAGGATTCACAGGGCCACACAGGCCTTGCTCAGTTTCCCTCTTGTCCTCGGAGGTCCCTGCTTCCTCTGCAGTTCACCCTTCACTGGTTGTGGAGGCTGCTTGGACCCTGCCCTGACCTGGTCTCTTCTCCTCAGAGCATCCCTATCTCCTTCCCTGATTGCTCCCCTCCAGCTGGAGAAGAGGACCTATGACCTGGGAGGCCACATACCTGCTATCCCCCATCCTGCTGATGCTCCTGGCATCAGGTTAGTACAGGGGACAAGAATAGAAGGAACAAACCAGGGACAGGAGAGGGAAGGGGTTGCAAAATGGGGCTCTATTGGAAAGGTGGAACACATGGTGTGTTGTGGCCAGCGACTGGCTCTAAGATGCACCCTGAGCATAGACATAAAGAGGGTCCCTCCCTGAGAAGGGAGCCCCTCTCCTAGCCCTGCCGTGGAGTCCTGGGGTGGGAGCTCACTGACCTGGAGGGTGTGTGTTTTCTCAGGCTCCTGGACAGAGGGCACAGAGTTACTTCAAATGGTGGAGGACAAGATGGTTTTTGTGAAATGCCAATATGATCCCAGCCAACATGTCAATGTGAAAGTCTGGTGTCAGGAAATATCAGCAGGAACTTGCAAATTGATAGTGTCCAGTGTGAGCACAAACGTTCAGCGGCCAAATTTCTCCATCCAGGACCCTCCTGGATCTGACTTCTTCACTGTCACCATGACTGCACTCACGGTGAGAGACTCGGGTCGCTATTTCTGTGGGATCATTGAAAATGACAGAACAGTGGCTGTTCTCAGAAGGTTCCTCCTGGTGGTATCAAGAGGTGAGCTTCCCCCTACTATGTGGCTCTCAGCTTTCCTAATACCAGGCTCCAGAGTTGGAGAGAATTCTAGAAACTGTGTCTTCTAATAGCTGGGAGCTGGAACACAGAGAAGAGCCTCCCAAGGGCCACCCGCTAGTTCAGGACAGAGCCAACCCTAGAACACAGGTTTGCTGGACTCTGGGCAGGATTTATCAGTTACTCTTAACATTTCTGCTGTTGCTGCTGCTAGCAGAACTCTGTTTATTGAAGGATCTTATAATTCTATCCAGCTGTCAAAGCCACTCATTCCTGAACATCCCTTCCTGCAGTCCTACCAGCAACCTCTCCAGGGGTTCTTGCTCCATCATATGAGATAGATTTCAGAGCAAAAGGAGACAGAGAGGAGACAGCTAAACAGAGAGGCACAGGAGGTTTAGTGGGGAAGGCTGGGAGATGCGGTCCTTGTCCAGGATCTGCTCTTGATGACTGAGAACCTCTGAGCTCTGGGAAGTTGGCCCACAGGCTGCTGCTAGTGGCCTGAGTCTCCTGTGTATCTCGTGCAGAAGACTGCAGTGACGGAAGACTCTGAATCAGTCTTTCATGTTCATAGGCTCACAGTGTGAACAGCCCCTCCCAGGACTTTCCCTGCTGTAGAGCATGTCCAGCCCTTTGGTTATAGGGGGCATGGAGGTTATTTCAGGAAAGCTTTGAACCAGGCACACCCCATAGAGGGGTGGCATTAGGTGTGACCTTTACTTATTCAGACATAGTGGACACAGGCCTGGGGAGAAGGCACAGCACATAAAGTGCTTGCCCTGTGTGGTTCAATGTGGCAAAACCTAGAATCCTCAAGGAGAGAAGCCTCTGGCTACCCCTGTGAGGAATTATTTTATCTTAAGGTGGGAAGAACCATTCTAAAAGTGAGCGGCACCATTTTCTAAGCTTGGCATCCCAGAGTATAAAAGGGGAAGTGAGCTGAGCACATTCATTACTCGCTACTGTGTGAATGTGGATGCCCTGCAACCAGATACTTCCGGTTCCTGTTATCTTGAGTTTTTCCTGTGATGGACTGTACCCTGAACTGTCCTGCAGTCTTGCCTTCCTTGTTGTGACAGACTGTATGTGAACTGTCCTGCTGTCTGGAGTTCCTTGCTGTGATGGACTGTACCCTGAACTGTGTGCTGCAACAGACTCTGGATTAGGAAAGCAGCTAAACTTAATGAGACAGACTTAGGAACACAGAAGACAGTGGTGCTGGGGCGGGTGATTTTTACTTTGTGAGCCTGGCTCAAGAGACTTCAGAGGAGAAGAATGTCAATATGTGTCCTAGAGATCATTTTTGTCATGTTTTGGCGAAGAATGTGGTTGCTTTCTGCCCTTGTTGGAAAAATCTGCCTGAGGCTAAAATGAAGGGTTGTGGATTAATAGCTTTGGCAGAGGAGATCCCAGACAGCCTAGTGCTGGCAGTGCTGTTTGGGTGCCAGGGTCCACTCTTACACAGACCTACAATGAAAAGGACCAAGCTGAGCAAGGAAAACTACAAAATGTACAGTTTGAGGAGAAAGGTGACACCAGGAAAGGGAAACAGATTAAAGAAAAGCACTAAGTAGAATAAAGGGAATGGTGACCTCAGAGAGAGACTTCACCCAGTTAAGCTTCAAACTGGTGGAAAGGGATTAAGGAAAAGTGGGAAAGGACCAGGTGAAGTGGCCCATGCCTTTAATACCAGCACTCAAGAGACAGAGACAGGCAGACCTCTGAGTTCAAGGCCAGCCGGGTCCACAGAGTGAGTTCCAGGACAGCCAAGCTTAGGCAGTGAAGGAAAACATAAACTGATACAATATATAAATATTTGAACGGGGAGCCAGGTTCTAGCCCCAGCAAAGAACAGAACATGGCAGCTTTGGCCACGTGGTACTGGCTTTAGAGTCAAGGGTACAAGAAAGGGGTTATGGAATCTCCCTCTGCGAATAAGGAAAGCAATGGAGGCCAGATGTGTGTCAGGGGTGTCCTTGTATGGAAGCCTACAGAGGCCATTACATAAAGCTGTGCAAGTAAAGCCAGGTTTTTGTTGAAGAACCCAAGATATTGGAGACACCAGAGCCAGGGGAGAGGTAAACAAGGAGAGCCGCTAACAGGGAATGGAACCAGCCCAAGAAGGAAGTGTGTTACATCAACAAAGCTGAAAGGAGTTGGAGATCTGAAGAGAGTCATGACATCAGAGGTGCAGAATTTGGAGTTTGCCCAGAGAGTTTTTGGTCTAACTTTGTTTCAGTATTTCCTCACTCTGCTCCCTATCCTCCCCATTGGAATGGTAATGTATATTCTACGCCACTGTATGGTGGAAGCGTATGGTATACTTTTTATTTTTATCTTACAGGTTACAAGTTAAGATATTATCATGAGTCTCTGGAGAGATTTTGGATTTTTAAATGGATGAAAGATCAGTTGAACCTGTAGAAAATGAGATTTTTGAAGTTGAACTAAATGTGTTCCTCCATTGTGATACGGGTAGAAGCCTCTGGGGGACAGGGAGTGTGGTGGTCTGAAAGAAAATGTCCCCATAAGTTCACAGGGAGCGACACTCTTAGGAAGCATAGTCTTGCTTGACTAGATGTGGCCTTGTATAGAACTGCATTAGAGTGGACCCTGGCACCAAACAGCACTGCCAGCACTAGGCTGTCAGGGTCTCCTCTGCCAAAGCTGCTAATCCATAGCTCTTCACTTTAGCCTCAGGCAGACTTTTCAGACAAGGGCTGAAAGTAACTGCATTCTTCACCAAACATGACAAAAATGATCTCTAGGACACATACAGATATTCTTCTCCTCTGAAACCTCTTGATCCAGGCTCGCACAGTACAAATCGACCCCAACACCACTCTCTTCTGTGTTCCTAATAGTCTGGCTCATTAAGTTAATCTTAAAGTATTCAGCTGCTTTCCTAATCCAGAGTTTGGTGCAGCACACAGTTCAGAGTACAGTCCTTCACAGCAAGGAACTCAAGACAACACAAGACAGTTATGCAGGAGTGTATCACTGAAGGTGGGAGTTGAGGTCTTAAATGCTTAAACAAGCCTGTGTTGATCCCTCCCCCCTGTCTTCCTCTCCCCCCTCCGTCTCTCTCTTTCTTCCTACAGTTACAGATGTAGAACTCTCAGCTACCTCTCCAGCACCATGTCTGCCTACATACCTGTCATACCTCTCTAGGACCATATATACCTGCATTTCCCCATGATTTCCCCCATAGCAATAGTGGACAGAACCTCTGGACTATAAAATAGCCCCACTTAAATGTTCTCCTTTATAAGAGTGGTCATGGTGTCTCTTCAGAAAAATGGAAATCCTAAAGACAGATGATGTCAGAGTGTGGGACATGTTTGTGTGGGGAGTCCATGTAGTTCATGTCCTGCAGTACATGTAGGCCTGGGCAGATGGCTCAGCGGGGAAAGTGCTTGCCATGCGTGCATGAATCCTGTCCTGAGTTCTGTTCTCAGTACTCACCGCAAAAAGTCTACCGTGGTGGCCTGCATTAGTAATGGAGGTGAAGGCAGGTGGATCCCTGGGCCCTTGGCCAGCCAGTCTATACGAAGCAGTGAATTTCAAGGAAAAAATGAGAAACTCTGCCTCAAAAAAGTCAGGTATCCTGAAGAATGACACCTGAGGTTGACCCCTAGCCTCCACATGCATGTACACCCTTGCACACATGTGTATCCATATTCAAATGACAATGTATACACACAACACGGGGATTATTTACAAAATTTGACTTCCATGAACCTCATGTCACGTGACTCTTGCAGTTGAAAAACTAAACAAAACACAACACATCTGAGTTTTAGGAAGACCAGTTCTTACAGAGTGTAGGGCCCACAGGTCTACTCCTCTTCCCAGGGTTCACATTGAGGATATCTTGCAATTTTTGGAAAAACATCTTGTTCATTCCTAGGCTCACTCTGCTCACCCTGGTTGGTAACTACAGGGGAGTTGTTTGCTCCCTCTTGAGCCTGGTAATCCCCAACTACCTGGGGGATTTCCACTGTGCAGCAGTTAGGTATATAAGGCTTTCTGTAAGCTTGAATAAATGGCATTCTGCCTTCTCTCTTCACGAATGACTCCTGTCTCTCCTGTTCTTTAATCTCTAGCCCCTTGTCTGACTTGAGAACTGTGCCATAGCTCAGTGACTACAACACAGGTATGCTGACCTTTCAGGCTGCAGAGCACAAGCTGGGAGAGGGGAGAGGGAGCTGGGTCAGGTGAGGATGAGTTAGAGCCCAGGGTTTCTAGAAGCCTGGCTTTCTCCCAGAATCTTCATCTGAGGTCCAGTGCAGGAAAATGCTAAGTGGGGTCCTATCCATGAATTCCCCATGGGTAGCAGGGTTCAATAAAGGGTGATCAGTAGACATGGAACATAATTGGGTTCCATTTCCCAAATCTCTACTTAGAAATTGTCTCCTTAGAAAGCTCCTGATCTACTCTCCTCCTCCCAAGATGCCCTTGCCCCCCGCCATGGGCTTCTACACTGTATATCTCAGACCTTGCTGTGGGCATTAACCACCTGAACTCCTTATTTCATGCAGACCCCGGCTCAGCAAACCTGAAGTGACACTTGCTTATGAAGAACAAGTGTCCAGGCTCACTTCAGTAGGGAACAATGCACCTATACACCCCATATGGATTTCTGAATTCACCTAGGAAGAGCTGGTGCCTTGCTGGGCTCTACACCCCCAGTAGTAATAGAGGATGATCAAGGATGGCAGAGAAAAGAGAAGCAGGCCTCCCTTCCTAGAGCAGGGAGTCTGTGCCAAGACCAGGCTGAGGCTCACATGCAGTACAGCAGTAAGGACACCTTAGAGAGACGTGACTTACAGAGGCAGAGAGAGCTGTCAGGGGGAGAAGGGGGAGGTGCAGAGCTGGACAGCAGCAGAGGAGAAGGTTTCCACAGCTCAGACAGCCCGAGGAGTCTTTCCTTCACGCCTCTCCAGCCTCCTCCTTTGCTCCTTCCTCTCATCTGTCTCTGTCTCTGATTCAGGCTGGCTTCTTTGAGTTTTACTAAAAAAATCTTTGCCTCCTGAATAGCCATGTTCTTTTCCCTCCCCAACTCCACTCCTCTCTCCCTATTTAACTATCCATTTATTACCCATCCATCTATCATCGATCCATCCACTTATCCATACATTCTTGGTGTCTTCCTGCAGGTCATCCAATTACTACTGCCTCCTCCATGATTCCAACTTGGACAAGAACTGAAGCTCCGCCCTTTAATACCACAAAGGACCTGAGCACTGTCTTTGACAGGTGTGTGTGTGTGTGTGTGTGTGTGTGTGTGTGTGTATGTAACCATAACCCAGGTCAGCTGCTGTTGTTCCCTCTTCAGATCCTGAAGTCACATTCATCAATATTAAAAATTTTACCATTATGTTTTCAGGCTACTGGACTCCATGTTTAAATGTTTTTATCCCCAGCCCATGTGCTGAGAGGATATGGGGATAAAGATGGGCTTTGGTGGAGCAGGGGCAGACTCAAGTCCCCTCAGTCTGTGAAGAATTTCCCTGAGAGGTTAGAAGTGATGACTGACTGAGAAGAGGCACCCGTGCTCCCCAGCTGATCCCATCCTCCACAGCACAACCCGTCCTCCCTAGCTCATCCCATCCTCCCCAACTCACCTTCTACTTTCTTTCACACCTGGGTATCAAGAAGAGGGAAATGATGTCTTTAGTGGCTAATAGTCCCGCAAACCCATGAGTGGGATAGTGCAGTGAAATACTCTCAGTGAGCCTGGTTCTCGTGGCAGGCACATTGTGTGATTCCATGCAAGTTGGGAACCTCTGTAGTGTAGGGATACTGGACAGTCAGAGCTGGAAAGTGATCAAGACACAGGTTTCGTTTGGTTTGATAAGATCTCACTGTGTAGCCTTAGCTGACCTGGAAGTCTATGTTGATCAGGCTGACTGAAAACTCAACAGAGATCCATCCACCTGCCTCTGCTTCCCAAGAGTGGGATTAAAGGCATGCACCCTCATGCCTGACTAGCCCCACAACTCTTACAGTTTAAGTGAGGATTCCAATTTTTGCCTTTGCTCCATTTTGTTTTGTTTTACTTCCTTAATTTGTTTCTTTTTTGCTTGGGTTCAACATCGGTGTGAGAACCCAACTCTACGCTGATGGGGTGTCGATTTCTGCCATGATTCTCCACAGTTCTGCTGTTGTTTTTTGCAATGCTAAGAAGCGAGATGGGGGCCTTACCTGTGCTGTGTTGATGTTTTAACTCCAAGCTACATCTCCAGCTTCTGGTCTCAGGATCCTAGAGTAAGATTTTCAGGTTTCTAACCGGCATTTGTGTGAGTCAGCGTCCATCTCTATATTCCTTTTGTCCCTGTGTCCTACCATGTAGAGCACCGTGTCCGCACCTATCTGCCAGGTCAGGTGGAATCTCTCTCTCTCTCTCTCTCTCTCTCTCTCTCTCTCTCTCTGTCTCTTTCTGTCTATCTGGAACTTGGAGAAGCATTTTGCCAAAATTATGACAACTCCGCAATGGGGTTTTCAGTAAGGTTGGATTCTTCTTGGTTTCTGGAAGGGGGAAAATGAAGACTAAGGTAGGACAACTGTCCCCAGAAGCAGGTGAGAATCGGGACAACAGGGAGATATGGACCTGACACCATTCCACACAGAAGGTCAAGATGCCCAGATGAACTCCTCTTCATGCATCTACTGGACCTGAACCCTAGACTCTCCTGCAAACACATTTTTAGCTGTTTATTTTAGGAAGAGATCATCTAAACTGCATCTAAACTTTTTCACAGGCTGAAGGAAAGTCAGGGAGAAGCTAAGTTAGAAAGATTGGATGGGGAAGAGTTTTCTAGATTGGGCAGTGTGGGTGGTCATTGATCAACCTTCAATCTCCTCTCTCCATAGGGTCTCCATATCCAACATGGTTGTTCTCATAGTCTTTGGACTCCTCAGTAAGACTCTTATCTTCACTGTCTTGTTTGCTGTCACATGGAGGTCATTTGGAGGACAGACAATGACGACACAGCGGTGACTTATGACTTTCAGCCATATCTATCTCACAGGAGGAGCTGGGGGTGGGTGGGGCTAAGGAGAGAATGTGACAGAATTGAACCTATAATCATGGCTGACATCTAAGGCCCAGAATGTCCCCTGCTGGCCCTGCCCTATCTCCACAGTCCATCCATCATCTTGGGTAAGCACTCTGTACCCTCAGAAGACAGGAACCAATGCCCAGCACCTCTGGCCATTCTGCCTGAATAGATGAGTTGGACTCAAATAAAGACAACACTATACTCCTTCCTGTCGGCTTTCACGTAAGTCGTGAGATTTAGGGGTGACCACTACTATTCCTGTCCCTGGTCCTTGCCTTAGGCAATGCATATCTAGCCACCTGGGCAGGCCCTTGCTTATGAAGCAGCCTGGTCTCCCAGCCTCTAGGGCCTTCCTCTCTGGGAATCAACCAACACTCAGATTTGTCTTCCTCTATGGTCCTCTGAACACTCCTAATCAAGGACCAAGAAGACAAGATCTCTTCTTGAGGATTATGCAACAGGGAAAGAGAAATCAAGTTAAGCTGGATGATGTTGTCTGGGAAACTCTTGGAGGCAGAGATGGCATCTGTAGGACGGGATCAGGACATGCACCAACATACTGTGTGCATTTTATCATCGAATCTTCAGTGCAACATATAACAGCCAAAGTGTGTGTGACCACAGGAGGCCACAGGAATCTCAGGGCACCACCTTCTGGTGGGAATGAAGTCTAGAGAGTTCCCTTGCTGAAGGGCTCGTCAGTTGAGATTCCCTACTTCCAGATATGCCCAGATTTATGTCAAGTCAATAAAAAACAATCAACACAGGGACCATGTTTTAGGTTTGTGTGCTCTCATCCTCTCTTTTTAAAATGTTTGTAGATTTATTTACTTTATTATGTGTAAGGTGCATTTATATACACTGTGTGCTTGTTTGGTGTCCCAGAAGATGGTGCCAGAGAGTGATGTGGGTTATTTGTACAGTGTATGAACATGTATTGCTTTGCTATGATTCATGCAATAAAAAGCTCAATAGCCAATAGCTAGGCAGGAGATATAAACAGAACTTCCAGGCAAATAGAAAAAGGAAGTGTGGTTGTTTGGGGTTTTGTTTTAACACTTTTGCTACTTGGGAATGTGCCACCTAGCTCCCAAATAATCACACAGAAGCTATTCTTACTTACAAATGCCAGATCTCAGCTTGGCATGTTCCGTTTCAGGTTTTCTTAAATCATGCCATATGTATCTTGCCTCTTGGCTTATACCATTTTCTATGTCTGTATATCGTTTCTTTCTCTCTTATTCTTTGTCTTACTGTGGTGCTGGGTGAGTGACCCCTTGCTTTGTCCTCTCCTCTTTTTCTCATTCTATTTATTTTCTCTGCCTGGCATTCCATCTATACCTTTCCTGACTATCTATTAAGATCTTTATTAGACCAAACTAGTGTTTTAGGCAGCTTCACAGAGTTAAACAAATGCAACATGAAAGAATGCAACACATCTTTGCATCATTTAAACAAACATTTCACAGCAAAAACACATCTTCAACTAATATTCCCCAAGAGAGGAGAGTTAGGCGCATGGTAGATGCTAAGGAAACACAGAGAGGAAACACAAGGTACAAGATGGAAGAGAAGTAATGCCACATTATAAAACAGAGTTTAATATCAATGAGTTAATTTAAGCTATAGAGCTAGTTGAGACAAGTGTAAGCTAAAAGCCAAGCTTTCATAATTTATAAGAAGTTCCCATGTCATTATTTGGGAGCTGACTGATAGAATAGAAAAAAACGTTCATCACAAGACAGGGTTTCAAATCCCCTGGCACTGGACTTGCAAAGGGTTGTAAGTCCCCTTGTGGATACTGGGAAGCAAAATCAGGTCCTCAGCCAGAGCAACTGTGCTCTAACCATTGAGACAACTCTCCAGCCCAGCAAAAGGAACCCTTTTCTCCTTTATGTTGAGGGTATCAAACCAACTCAGCTGTTGTCCGTGATAAGTAACTATTCTGCCACTGAGGGGACCCCAGCCCTTGCTTTATTTTTTTAATTTTATTTTCAATTATGTGCATCCAGAAGGCAGAGGTATCTATACCTGTGAGTGTGCAGGAGCCTGAGGAATCCAGAAGAGGGCGTTAGATCCTAGTGCTGGGGTGACAGACACAGGTTTTTTAAGATGAACTTGGATCCTCTGTAAGATCAGTAATCTTTCTTAACCATGGAACCATCTGTCCAGAACCCAGTACCTGAGTTTTGTGAATGTGTGGAGGAGTGTTTTGTTTGTTTTTGTTTTTGTTTCTTTGGTTTGGTTTGATTTGGTCTGAAGTTTTTTTCGGTTTCTTTGAAACAGAATCTCACTAAGTGACCCAAGCTGGCCTTAAATCCACAATACTCCTGCCTCAGCATATCTGGTAAGAGGATTACACCATCACAGCTTGTGGCCCCCATCTTAACTATGAGATTTTATTTTTAAATTGATGAGGCCCCCTTTAAGAACAAATAATCACTAAAGATGTCATACCTCCCTTCCTAGATCTGTTTGGAGAAAAGAGATAAACATTTTCAGTAAAAACCTAGAATTCTCAGGTAGCCAAGGATGACTTTGAACTTCAGATCCTCCCACCACTGCCTGAGTGTTACAATTGCAGGTGTGTGCCACCGTGCCAAGTTTATGTGGCCCTGGAGTTTGAACCCAGACACTTCCTGCATGCTAGGCAAGTCGTCTACCGATTGATCTATGTCTCCACTATGATTTTACATTGAATATTAATATCTCATATTTATTTAGCACTAAGCTTCTCCATACAGTATCTCAGGAATCCTCACAAGGACTTCACAAGGTAGGTGCGGTCTCTACCTGCAGTTTTGTGAATGACAGAGAGAAACTCGGAAGGCCTGAATGCTCACTGGTGTGTTCACGGGTGTGCTCCTCATGACTTTCACTACAGTGGTCTGTGTGAACTGGCTCAAAATGTTCACAGTAGTGTGGTTTCTTGGATTTGACATTCAGTTTGGTTTTGTTTGCTTCCTTGTTGCTATGGTAAAAGATGTAAATAAAAGGAATAATTGAAGAGACACAGGTTTTATTTTGGCTCATAGTTCCACAAGGGTGCAATCATCTCAGCAGGGAAGACACACTGGCAGGTGCAGGAGGCTGACTGATCACACTGCCTCTGCACCCAGGAAGTAGATAAGGAACACAAAGCGGGACCAAACTATACAACCTCCAAGCCTGACTCCAGTGACCCAGTTTCTCTGAAGAAACTCCAACCCGCAAAGGTTCCACAAGGATCCCAAATGTGGGCCGCCTGCCCCCATCACTGGCAGTCTTAGGATTCAGAGGAGCCGGGGAGCAGGGTCGCAGTGTGAGTGCAAAGGGTGTGAAGGGCCCTGGAGACTGTTTCTTAGGACAGGTCTATTAAAATGGCAGGGCCAGCTTATCGATCTGTGGGCACAGGGGAGAAGGGAAATGAAGTCAAGGGAGGAAGTCCTGCAGTGGAGGACTGGGCCCTCTGAGCATTCCAGGCAGATTAGCAGACAGGGCTGCTGGTCACATGATCCCTGAAAAGCCAGTTCTTTAGAGGAGGGAGGGGAGGATGGACAGGACACAGAAATGAGACTGACTTTATCACGATGTAGCTTTTGTCTCTATGGAGTTCGGTTAGGCCCAGTCTTGAATTGGGTAGGTAGAGACCACACTCCTGCCGTGCTCTCTGAGAGATGTCCAGGGTATGGGCAATTCTCCACTGTCCCTCATCTGGCTTGGGAACCCACACCCAAGCAGCACCACCAGCTGGGGACCAAGTGTGCAAACACGCTGGAGAGGGAATGTCTTACATCAAAACTACAATACCTGCTTATCCTGGGGTCCTCACGATGATGACTGGAGGTCATAGAACAACACTAGCAGGGTGTCGTATTTGAAACCTAAGACCCCGCTGAGAACAGAAAGGCTGGCTCAGACTGATGACCGGACCTCAGTGTCCTGGCAAAGCCCAGCTGTGCTTCCTGTTCCCCTACAGGAGCCTGACTGTTGACTTGTCTGTGGCCCCAGTGACCCCCTCACAGCCCCCTTTCCAGGTTCCCCACAAGGTGGGCACCCACAGCTCTTGTCTCAGCCTCCTGTCCTGGACCAGTGTGTTCCAGTCTCTCCTGCAGTCATGGCTCCTGTGCGGTTGCTCTCATGGCTTCTCTGCTTTCTCCCTCACCGTCTTTCAGAGAAGCCTCTCCCTTCTTCAGAGCACAGGAGGCCACACTCTCCATCCTGCCCTGAGGCTTCCACACCCACACGTCCTCCAGGTCTTGGAGCTACTGGCCACTTTGTGAGCTGCATGGAAAGGTAACCACTTCCTGAGGTAAGGGCCATTAGAGACTGGAATCCCCTGCACAAAGCTCACCCTTTTGGCCAGAAAGAGCAGGTGAAGTAACCCTGGGCCACAGTTGTGCACACTCAAGAACAGTTCACAGCATGGCTGCAGATGCATGCCTGCTCTGCTTACAGTGATGCAAGCTGCCAGGTCTGCACTCTGCATCCATGGACTTCTTACTCCATGCTGGGAGGGGTGAGGAGGAGATGTCACCTCAGCGAGCAGTTCAGCTGCTGAAGGCCACCTTCCCATGACCCACGTTCCTTCTAGAAATCCCGCCTCGCCACTGACTGACACTGCTCTCTAAAGTCTTAGCACCCTGTGCCAGCTTGGTCAAAGGCTTCCCCTGCCTCTCAGACCTCCTCACACGGGGCCTGGGCTTCCTCACTGCATGTCGAGCCGCACACATCTGTCCCTTTCCTCCCCAGAGTCCTTCTCAAGTCCTGTGCCATCTGGGTCACCCCGTTTCCCATGCCATCCCAGCTGCTACACAACATTGTCATTTAAAGGGGCTTCCCTGCTCCTATAGTATTTTCATTCTTGGGTTTATTATTTTGAAACAGGGTCTCATGTAAGCTGGACTGAATTTGCTGTTTAGCCAAGGATGAACATGACCTCACACCCTCCAGCCTCCACCTCCCAAGGTCTTGGGTTAGAGTTACACACCAGCATGCCTGGTTCTCTGTTTGCTTATCTGATACTATGAACAGCCTGTAGCTAGTGACTTCTTGTAGATCATGTAATAACATTTTATTTATTTACTTTAAGTTTTCACATATGTAGAAGATAGAGAAGAACTTTTGGGAGTTGATTCTCTCCTTCCCCCATGTGGGCCATGGAGCTCAAACCCAGGTTATCAGCCTTGGTAGCAAGTGTCCTGCCTGCTGAGCCGTCTCTAAACCTAGTCCTGTGACAGTTACTTTTGAAATGTGTTTGATGAGTACATTAGCAGTGACTGTGACATGTTGGGAAGCTGGGTTTATGGGGGTGACACGAGGCTGGTGTCCCCTTTTCCTTCCCTACTTCCGAGCTCTCTTCCTTCATACCCAGCTTTGCAGTCTCCACACTACGCAGGACCCCCTTGCTCTTCCATTCCTGAGAATGCATGTCCACCCCCTTCTTCTCATCCCCTCTAGGCCACATGGAACTTGCTGGCTCCCAGGTGGGCCTGTGGGCAAAATTCTGACCCCTGACAGCAAGGTGCCTTAGAGTTGTAGCCAGGTCTCTAAAGGGCCTCTGGTTCTGTCATCTGCCTTCAGTGGGAGCCATATGTGGGAAGAAAACACAAGCTGGAGAAGAAAGAGGAAGTGGGGGGTTGTGAGTGGTGCTGAGGAGAACTGAGCATATTCTTACTTCACTATGGTTCCTTCCTGGACTTTCTCAAAGTTTCTCACTCCGGTCTTTAAGGTAGGATATTGCAGCATCTCTGTGAGCCTTAATCTAGTTCAGTTCAGAAGCCTAGAACTAGAGCCTGTGAAGGAGGAGCCACAGGGCCGCACAGGCATTGTTCAGCTTCCCTCTTGTCCTCCAAGTTCCCGGCTTCCTCAGCAGTTCACCCTGCACTGGCTGTGGGGGCTGCCTGGACCCTGCCCTGACCTGGTCTCCTCTCCTCAGAGCATCCCTACCTCCTTCCCTGTTTGCTCCCCTACAGCTCGAGAAGAGGACCTATGGCCTGGGAGGCCACATACCTGCTATCCCCCATCCTGCTGGTGCTCCTGGCCTCAGGTTAGTACAGGGGACAAGGATAGAGGGAAGGAACCAGGGACAGGAGAGGGAAGGGGTTGGGAGGTGTGCAAAATGGGGCTCTATTGGAAAGGTGGAAAACATGGTGTGTTGTGGCCAGCGAATGGCTCTAAGCTGCATCCTGAGCATAGACACAAAGAGGGAGCCCCTCTCCTAGCCCTGCTGTGGAGACTGGGCGATTCTCTGATGAGAAGGGTGTGTGTGTTTTCCCAGGTTGTTGCGCAGAAGATGCAGAGTTATATCAAAAAGTGGAGGGCCAGACATTTTCTGTGAAATGCCAGTATGATCACAGCCAATACGTCAACATGATGAAGGTGTGGTGTCAGCAAACATCAGCAGAAAGTTGTAAAGTGTTAGTGTCCAGTCTCAGCACAAATTCTCGGTGGTCAAAATTCACCATCCGGGACCATCCTGCCTCTCGCTTCTTCACTGTCACCATGGTTGCACTCACAGTGGGAGACTCGGGTCTCTACTATTGTGGGATCCGTGACAATGGCGGAGCAATCGGTGTTCTCAGAACCATCCGCCTGGTGGTGTCAAGAGGTGAGCTTCCGCCTTCTATGTGTCTCTCAGCTTTCCTGATCAACAGGATCCAGAGTTGGAGAGGACTCTCATCACTTCTAATAGCTGAGAACTGGGGTACAGGGAAGACCCCCTCCTGGTAAGGCTCCCTGCTGGGTCAGGGTAGAGCCAACCCTAGAACCCAGGTTTGCTGACCTCTGGGCAGTATTTACCAGTTATTCTAAACACTTATTCTTCTTTTTCTTTTTCTTCTTCTCCTTCTCCTTCTCCTTCTCCTTCTTCTTCTTCTTTTCCTTCTCCTCCTCCTCCTCTTCCTCCTCCGCTGCTGCTAACACAACTCTGTTCATTGAAGGATCTTGTTCTTCCCTCCAGCTGTCACAGCTGCCCACGCCCAAACATTCCTTTCTGCAATCCCATCAAAAACCTTCTCTCCAGGGGTGGCAGGCTCCATCACATGAGAGAGACTTCAGAGCAAATGGAGAAGGCACTGAGAGATGTGGACCAAGAGGAGACAGCTACACAGAGAGGCATATGAGGCTTAGTGGGGAAGGCTGGGAGATGCGATCCTCAAGAAACTGCTCTTGATGACTGAGAACCTCTGAGCTCTGGGAAGGCGGCCCAGAGGCTGCTGTAGTGGCCTGAGTCTCCTGTGTATCTCGTGCAGAAGACTGCAGTGGCAGAAGGCTCTGAATCAGTCTTTCATGTTCTTAGGCTCACAGTGTGAACAGCTCCTCCCAGGGTTTTCCCTGCTGCAGAGCATGTCCAACCTTTTGGTTCAATGGGTGTCTGGAGGTTATTTCAGGAAAGCTTTGGCGCAGGCACACCCTATGGAGGCAGAGCATTAGGTGTGACCTTTATATGTTCAAACACAGTGGACACAGGCCTGGGGAGATGGGTCAGTCAGTAAAGTGCTTGCCCTGTGCGGTTCTAGTCGTTAATATGGCAGAACCTAGAATCACCAGGGAGACAGGCATCTGGCCTCAGATGTGAGGGACTATCAAAGCTTTAGCTGGGAAGACCCATTCTAAAAGTGAGAGGCACCATTCCCTAAGCTTGGGTCCTAGACTCAATATAAAAGGGGAAGTGCACCTGGAACATTCACTGGTTTCTACTGCCTGACTGTGGATGCCCTGCCATCAGCTGCTTTCAGCTCCTGTTGTCTTGAGTTCCCTGCTGTGATGACTGCACCCTGAACTGCTCTTGTTGTCTTTGTTGTTGTTGTTTTTATTGAGCAATACATTTTTCTCTGCTCCCCATTCTTCCTCTCTTATGCTCTTCATGCTCCCAATTTACTCAGGAGATCTTGTCTTTTTCTACTTCCCATGTAGATTATTAGATCTATCTATGTTTCTCTTAGCACCCTCATTGTTGTCTAGGTTCTGAGGGATTGTGAATTGTAGGTTGGATTTCTTTGTATGTCTAAAAGCAACTTATGAGTACGGAATATGATATTTATCCTTCTGGGTCTGGGTTACCTCACTCAAAATCATGTTTTCTAGATCCATCCTTTTGCCAGCAAATTTCAAGATGTCATCATTTTTTTTCTGCTGTGTAGTACTTCACTGTGTAAATGTACCACATTTTACTTATCCATTCTTCGGGCAAGGTACATCTAGGTAGTTTCCATGTTCTGGCTATAACAAACAATGCTTTTGTGAACATAGTTGAGCACATGTCCTTGTGGCACGATTGAGCATCCTTTGGATATATACCCAAAAGTGGTATTACTGGGTCTTGAGGAAGGTTGTTTCCTAATTTTTGAGAAATCGCCACACTGACATCCAGAGGGGTTGTACAGTTTGCATTGCCACCAGCACTGCAGGAGTGTTCCCTTTAACCCACATCCTCTCCAGCATAAGTTGTCATCGGTGTTTTTGATCTTGGCCTTTCTTACAGTTGTGAGATGGAATCTCAGAGTCGTTTTGATTTGCATTTCTCTGACGGCTAAGGATGTAGAGCATTTTCTTCAGTTTCTTTCAGCCATTTTAGATTCCTCTGTTGAGAGTTCTCTGTTTAGGTCTGTACCCCAATTTTTTATTGAACTATTTGTTCTTTTGATGACAAATTTCTTCAGTTCTTTGTATATTTTGGAGATCATCCCTCTGTCTTATGTGGGGTTGGTGAAGATATTTTCCCAGTCTGTAGGCTGCTGTTTTGTCTTGTGGACTCTGTCTTTTGCTTTACAGAAGCTTTTCAGTTTCAGGAGGTCTCATTTATTAATTGCTTCTCTCAGTGTCTGTGCTGCTGCGGTTATATTTAGGAAGTGATCTCCTGGACTATACTGTCCATACTACTACATGTACTACGGTACTACACTTGTTGTGCGGAGCCTGCCCTACAGGACCATTTGTGGGCCGATCAAGGGCCTGAAGATATAAACACCAAAGACACACATACAGAGACACAGGTCATCCTTGAAACAAGAATGCTCACTTTATTGTGTACCAGAACTGCTTATATAGGGATCCTTAACTGATAGCCATGCCCCAGCCAAACACACAAGAAACCACTCCCCTGCAAGAAACCGCTCCCCTGCCATCAGGAACTCCTGAGGGTCTCCTGCTCAGAGTAGCTACAAACACAGGAAAAACAAGTTGTTTTGCTCAGAGCAGCTGCAAGCATAACAAGTTGTTTACAGGAAATTCAGGGTCTGGGTTCACAACACCCAACACTGAGTCAATTCTTTCAAATGTACAGCCCACTTTTTCTTCTGGGAGGTTCAGTGTGGTTGGTTTTATGTTGAGGGCTTTGATCCATTTGGAATTGAGTTTTGAGCATGCTCAGAGATATGAATCTATTTTCATTCTTCTGTGTGTTGAAATCTCGTTATTCCAGCATCATTTGTTGAATATTCTTTATTTTTTTCAATTTAAATTTTTTGCCTCTTTGTCAAAAATCAGGTGTTTGGAGGTATCAGAATTGATATCCAGGTCTTTGATTCGGTTCCATTGTTCCTCCTGTCTGTTCTTATGTCAATATCAGGCTGTTTTCAGTACTGTAGCTCTGCAGTAGAGTTTGAAGTCAGAAATTGTGATGCCTCCAGAAGTTCCTTTATTGTACAGGATTGTGTTGGCTCTCCTGGGGTTTTTGCTTTTCCATATGAAGTTGAGTACTGTTCTTTAGAGATCTGTGAAAATTTTTGCTGGGATTTTGGTGGGCATTGCATTGAATCTGTAGATTGCTTTTGACAAGATTGCCATTTTTACTATGTTAATTCTACATACCCAAAAACATGGGAGATCTTTTCATTTTCTGGTGTCTTCTTTGATTTTTTTTATTCAAACACTTGAACTCTTTTCATACATGTTTCACTTGTTTGGTTAGAGTTATTCCAAGGTATTTTATGTTATTTGTTTCTATTGTGAAGGATAATGTTTCTCTAATTTCTTTCTCAGTCTATTTATCATCTGTGTACTGATGAGAGTTACTGATTTTTAGTTAATCTTTTATCCTGCTACATTACTGAAAGTATTTATGAGTTGTAAAAGTTCCTTAGTAGATTTTTTGGACGTCACTTATGTCAACTATCATTTCATCAGCAAATAGTGCCTTCATCTTTTCTGATTTGTATCCCCTTGATCTCCTTTTGTTGTCTTATTGCTCTAACTTGGACCTCACATACTATATTTAATAGATAAGGAGAGAGTGGACAACCTTCTCTTGTTCCCAATTTCAGTGGGATCACTTTGAGTTTCTCTCCATTTATTTTGATGTTGTCTGTTGACTTGTTGTATATTGTCTTTATTATGTTTAGGTATGTTCCTTTTATTCCTGCTCTCTCCTGTTAGTAGAGGGCTGCTTGTTAGTTTCTGACTGTTTAGCCCTGAAAATAACCACACAGAAACTGTATTATTTAAAATACTCTTGGCCAGTCAGCTTTAGCTTCTTATTGGCTAATTGTTACATATTAATTTAATCCATTTCTATTAATCTGTGTATTGCCACGTGGCAGTAGCTTACCTGCAAAGTTCTGGCATCTGTCTCCAGCAGGGCAATGTGGCTTCTCTCTAACTCTACCTTTCTTTCTTCTAACATTCAGTTTAGTTTTTCCTGCATACCTAAGTTCTGCCCTGCTATAGGTTCAAAGCAGTTTCTTTATTCATTAATGGTAATCACAGCATACAGAGGGAAATCCCACATCACCTCCCCTTTTCTGTTTAAATAAAAAGAAGGCTTCAACTTTAGCATAGTAAAATTACATATAACAAAACAGCTATCAAGCAAGAATTACAGTTACAATATTTATATCTATTTTATCTTTTATCATAGCTAAGGAAAACTATAACTATAAATTCTTCAACTCCATCAAAGACTCCAGAAGGATATACTATTACCTAAGTAAACAGTAAGTTCATTGTAAGCAACTTTCAAAACTCTAGAATTGACAGAGACATCTCACTACCTGGACAGTCACCCAAACTTCTTCTGTACCATTGGGGCATCCATCTTCAGTCTATGGGCCCATAGTATCTGCCAGACATTTTCATGAAGCAGGAAATTTCAAAGACAGGTCTGCCTACATTGACAGTTTGTCAATCACTTTCTTCTGTATCCTGCAGAATATCTGACAGACTTTTCCATGAAGCAGGAACCCTGAAGGATGACCTCACTTTAGGCAAGTTCAGCAGTCATTTCTCTGTGGATTTTGTATGTCCAGTTCACCAAGCAATCCAGGCAAGAGTAGTTTCTTGCTCAAATGGCTAGCCAACTATATAAGAAGCCTCTGATGCTCCAGTGACACAATCGGTAAGCACATGGTACTTATACAGCAGAAGCCTCTGGTGCTGATCTTTGTTGTCTGCACTTTTCTGTGAATCCCCACACCCAAAACAGGCGCGCACTTTCCCGAATCAGGTCCACGAGAACGAATAAATATCCTAAGGGTTGAACACACAGAGAGACAGGCTCATTTACCAAAGAGTAAATGGCCACTTTATTAAGCACAAGTCGGGTATATATACTAGGGGGCAAAAAGGGCAACAGCCCCCTCCCATCCGGAACAGGGGAAGAAGAAGTCAGGCCGGCTACACCCAGGGTCAGAGAGCAGCTGATCAGGGAACCTGCCTGCACAGGGAACCTTGCTTGCAGATGGTATTACCATAACAGAAGAGGGCGAGTTCTCTCTAAGCTACACCCTCAGGCTGGTGCAATGAGCAGAGAAACCAGGAAGTAGATGAAAAAACGACCCTGCATAGCACCTCCAGCAAAGGGGAAAAACCTGGGTACCAACAGATCTTCCTCTTGAAGTGATTGCTATCTCCTGTTAATTGAGTTTTCTTTGTCAGCGATGTTATTGTGTGTGTATGTGTGTGTGTTTCCCCTTCTTTGGGATTTGCTGCTGTGAAATCATAAATTGCCTGTGTTTTTGTCGATGTAGCCAACTTCCTTAGGTTGGAGTTTTCCTTCTAGTGCGTTGTGAAGGGCTGGGTTTGTGGCTAGGTATTAGTTAAATCTGGTTCTGTCATGGAATATCTTGTTTTGTCCTTCTATAGTGATTGAAAGTTTTGCTTGGTATAGTAGTCTAGGCTGGCATCCATGGTCTCTTAATGTCTGCATAACACTTGAGCAAGACCCTCTGGCTTTTATTTTTTTCTTTGAGAAGTCTGGTATAATTCTGATAGGTCTGTTTTATGTGTTACTTGACGCTTTTCCTTTGCAGCTCTTATATTCTTTCTTTATTCTGTATGTTTAGTGTTTAGATTTTTATGTGGCAAGGGACTTTTTTTGATTCTGTCTATTTGGTATTCTGTAAGCTTCTTGTATCTTCATAATGCATATCTTCCTTTAGGTTGGAAAGGTTTTCTTCTGTGATTTTGTTGAATACATTTTGTGTACTTTTGAGTTGGACTTCTCCTTCTTCTATAGCTATTATTCTTAGGTTTGGTGTTTTCATGGTGTTCCATATTTTCTGGATATTTTTTGTTAAGTTTTTGTTAGATTTAATGTTTTCTTTGACTGGTGAGTCTATTTCCTCTATTGTGTATCTTCAGAGCTTGAGAGTCTCTCTTCCATCTCTTGTATCCTGCTATTTGTGCTTTCATTTGTAGGTCCTGACCATTTCCTCATAATCTCCATTTCTATAATCCCTTCAATTTGTGCTTTCTTTTTGTCTCTATTTAAGTTTTCAAGTCTTGAATAGTTTCTTTCATCTGTTTTATTGCTTTTTTTCTTTTCTAAAGAGATTTTATTTTATTTCTTCCAATATTTTATTTGTCTTTCCCTCCATTCTTTGAGGGAATTTTTCATTTCCTCTTTAAGGGCTTCAAACATTCTCCTAAAGTTATTTTTTAGGTCACTTTCTTCTGCTTCATCTATATTTGGTGTTTTAAGTCTTGCTGTTGTAGGGCCACTAATTTTTATTGGTGTCGTGTTGTTCTTTGTGATGTTGCATGTGTTCTTACCTTGTCTACCCATCTTTTCCTCTGATTGGTGTAGCTAGTGCTGTCTGTGACCCTGGTGATCAATCTTCCAGGTGCCAGTAGATTCAATGCTTACAAGGTTGCTCCTTGTGGTGCAGTCAGGGTCATGGTTCCAGTCACCCCGTTAGTCACCCCGTGTTCCTGGAATCCATTCGGAGCTACAAGGTTTGCTCTACAATGTCAAGGGTCATTCAGGCCGGTTCCCTCAAAGATTCCTTGCTTGGTGTTCTTTCTTTTGAGCCTTTGAGCTGCTCTGGCCTCTGCCTACTTCTCTGGTTCCTGCCTACTCCCTCAGAGGTCCCAAACACACATCCAGACCCACAGAGGTCCTGGCTCAGGCCTACTTCCTCAGAGGTCCCTGACTCATGCCCAGCGCTGCAGAGGTCTCTGGTTCAGGCCTACTCTCTTAGCGATTGCTCTCTTGTACCTACTCTTGTGGAGGTCTCTGTCTCCGGCCTTTTCCGGTCTAGGTCGCTGGCTCAGTCCTGTTTCTGCAAATGTCCATGGTCTGGGTCCACTACTGGCCTGACCTTGGTGCTGCAAAGGTTTCTACAGTTTTTTTTTTTTTTTACTTTCCTTTTCTTTCTTTCTTTCTTTCTTTTTTTCTTTCTTTTTTTTTTTTTTTTTTTTGAAAAGTATTTCTTTCAGAGCTCAGCTGACATTTCAGGCTGCAGAGCACACGCTGTGAGAGGGGAGAGGGAACTGGATCAGGTGAGGATGCATTGGAGCCCAGGGTTTCTACAAGCCTGGCTTTCTCCCTGAATCTTAATCTGAGGTCCAGTGCAGGACAATGGCAAGTGGAGTTCTATCCATGATTTCCCTTGGGGAGAAGGGTTCAGTAAAGGGCAAGCAGTTGACATAGAACATAATTGGGTTCCATTTCCCAAATCTCTACTTAGAAGTTGTGTCCTTATGAAGCTCATAAATCTACTCTCTTCCACCCAAAATGATCGTGTTGGCTCCTTGGGCTTCTAAACTGTGTGTCTCAGACCTTGTTGTGGGCATGAACCACCTGAACTCCTTATTTCATGCAGACCCTGGCTCAGCAGATCTGACGTGATACCTAATTATGAGGAACAAGTGTCTAGGCTCACTTCAGTAGGGACCAATGTACTTACAAGTGCCCCTATGAATTTCTGAATTCACCAAGGAAGTGCTAGTGCCTTGCTGGGCTCTACACCCCCAGTAGGAATAGTGGATGATCAAGGATGGCAGAGAAAAGAGAAGCAGGGCCTCCCTTCCTAGAGCAGGGAGTCTGTGCCAAGCCCAGGCTGAGGCTCACATGCAGTACAGCAGTAAGGACACCTTAGAAAGACGTGACTTACAGAGGCAGAGAGAGCTGTCAGGGGGAGAAGGGGGAGGTGCAGAGCTGGCCAGCAGCAGAGGAGAAGGTTTCCACAGCTCAGACAGCCCGAGGAGTCTTTCCTTCACGCCTCTCCAGCCTCCTCCTTTTCTCCTTTCTCTCGTCTGTCTCTGTCTCTGCTTCAGGTTGGCTTCTTTGGATTTAGTAAAAGAAAACATTGCTTCATGAATAACCATGTTCTTTTCCCTTCTCAGACAAACTCCTCTGTACCTATTTAACTATCCATTTATTACCCATCCTTCTATCATCGATCTATCCACTTATCCATACATTCTCGGTGTCTTCCTGCAGATCATTCAAATACTACAGCCTCTGCCATGATTCCGACTTGGACAAGAACTGAAGCTCTGCCCTTTAATACCACAAAAGACCTGAGCACTGTCTTTGCCAGGTGTGTGTGTGTGTGTGTGTGTGTGTGTGTGTGTGTGTAACCATAAGCCAGGTCACCTGCTGTTGTTCCCTCTTCAGATCCTAAAGTCACATTCATCAATATGGAAAATGTTACCATTACATTTTCAGGCTATTGGGCTCCTTTCTCAAATGCTTTTGTCCCCAGCCCATGTGCTGAGAGGATATGGGGATGAAGATGAGGTTAAGTGGAGCAGGGGCAGACTCAAGTCCCCTCAGTCTGTGAAGAATTTCCCTGAGAGGTTAGAAGTGATGACTGACTGAGAAGAGACTCCGTGCTCCAAAGCTCATCCCGTCCTTCCCATATCATCCCGTCCTCCCCATCTCATCCTCCCCAGCTCATCCCGTGCTCCCCAGCTCATCCCGTGCTCTCCAGCTCACCCCATCCTCCCCAACTCACCTTCTACTTTCTTTCACTCCTGGGTACGAAGAGAAGGGAAATATGTCTTTAGTGGCTAATAGTCCCACCAACCCAGGAGTGGGATAGTGTAGTGAAATACTCTTAGTGACCCTGGGTTCTCATGGCAGGCAATTTGTGTGATTTCATGCAAGTCGGGAACCTCTGTAGTGTAGGGATACTGGACAATCAGAGCTGGAAAGTGTTCAAGCCACGGGTTTGCTTTGGTTTGCTTTGATAAGATCTCACAGTGTAGCCTTGGCTGACCTGGAACTCTATGTTGATCAGGCTGACTGCAAACTCAACAGAGATCCATCCACCTGCCTCTGCTTCACAAGTGCTGGGAATAAAGGCATGCACCCTCATGCCTGACCAGCCCCACAACTCCTGCAATTTTGGAGATGGCTCCAGTTTTTGCCTTTGCTTTTCTTTTGTTTTTGCTTTGCTTTATTTCCTTAATTTGTTTCTTTTTTCCTTGGGTTCAACACTGGTGAGAGAACCCAACTCTACACTGATGGGGTGTCAATTTCTGCCATAATTCTCAGCAGTTCTGGTGTTGTTTTTAGCAATGCTGAGGATAGAAATGGGGGCCTTACCCATGCTGTGTAGATATTTTAACTCCAAGCTATATCTCCACCCACTGGTCTCAGGATCCTAGAGTAAGATTTTCAGGTTTCTAACAGGCATTTGTGTGAGTCAACTTCTACCTCTATATTCCTTTTGTCCCTGTGTCCTACCATGTAGAGCACCGTGCCCCCACCTATCTGCCCAGGTCAGGTGAGCGCTCTCTCTCTCTCTCTCTCTCTCTCTCTCTCTCTCTCTCTCTCTCTCCTGGGTGGGCCCCTTTCCTATGTCTACTGCTGTCCACGTGGAGAACTGTTTTGCTAAAATCATGACAACACTGCAATGGGGTTTTTAGTAAGGTTGGATTCTTCTTGGTTTCTGGATAGGAAAATGAAGGCTAAGGTAGGACAACTGTCCCCAGAAGCAGGTGAGAATGGGGACAATAGGGAGCAGGTTCCCTAGATATGAGCCTGATGCCATTCCACACAGAAGGGCAAGATGCCCGGGTGAACTCCTCGTTATGCATCTCTTGGACCTGACCCCTAGACTCTTCTGCAACCATATTTTTAATTGTTATTTAAGGAAGAGATCATCTAAACTGCCTCTAAACTTTCCCACAGGCTGAAAGAAAGTCAGGGAGGAGCTAAGTTAGAAAGATTGGATGGGGAAGAGTTTTCTAGACTCAGCAGTGTGGGTGGTCATTGGCCAACCTTCAATCTCATCTCTCCACAGGGTCTCCATTTCCAACATGGTTGTTCTCATGGTCTGTGGACTCCTCAGTAAGACCCTTATCTTCACTGTCTTGTTTGCTGTCACATGGAGGTCATTTGGAGGACAGACAATGACAACACAACTGTGACATGAATTTCAGCTGTGTCTATCTCACAGGAGGAGCTGGAGGTGGGTGGAGCTAAGGAGGAACTGTGACAGAATTGAGTCTGTAATCATGGGTGACATCTAAGTCTCAGAATGTCCCCCGCTGGCCCTGCCCTTTCTCCACAGTCCATCCATCATCTTGGGTATGCACTCTGTAACCTCAGAAGACAGGAACCAATGCCCAGCACCTCTGGCCATTCTGCCTGAATTGATGAGTTGGACTCAAAAAAAAAAAAATTACCGCTGTGCTCCTCCCTGTCACCTTTCATGGGAGTCATGAGATTACGAGTGACCGCTGCTATTCCAGCCCCTTGTCCTTGCCTTAGGCAGCACAAATCTAGCCACCTAAGCAGGCCCTTACTTATGAAGCAGCCTGCTCTCCCAGCAACTAGGGTCTTCCTCTCTGGAAATCAGGCACTCAGATTGGTCTTCCTCTGTGGTCCTCTGAGCACTCCCAACCATGGACCTAGAAGACAAGATCCCTTCTTGAGGATTATGCAACTGGGAAAGAGAAATCAAGTTAAGCTGGATGCTGTTGTCTGGGAAACTCTCGGAGGCAGAGATGGCATTCGTAAGATGAGATCAGTAAATGCATCAACATACATCAACATACTGTGTTTATTTTATCATTGAATGTTCAGTGCCACCCATGACAGCCAGGGTGTGTGACCAGAGGAGGCCACAGGAATCACAGGGCACCACCTTCTGGTGGCATGAAATCTAGAGAGTCCCCCTACTGAAGGGCTCCTCAGTTGAGATCTCTACTCCCAGATATGCCCAGGTTTATGTCAAGTTGATAAAAACCAACCAACAGAGGGTTGGTGTGCTTTCATCTTATCGTTTTAAAAATTTTGTAGATTTATTTACTTTATTATGTGTAAGGTTTATGTATATATACTATGTGCATGTTTGGTACCCCTGAAGATGGTGCCAGAGAGTGATGTGAGTTATTTGTACACTCTGTGAAAGTGTATTGCTTTGCTATGATTCATGTAATAAAAAGATCAATAGCCAATAGCTAGGCAGGAGGTATAGACAGAACTTCCAGGCATATAGAAAAAGGAAGTGTGGTTGTTTGGGGTTTTGTGTTTGGGTTTTTTTGTTTTTTACACTTTTGCTCTTTGCGAACGTGTCACCTAGCTCCCAAATAATCACACAGAAGTTTATTCTTACTTATGAATGCCAGACCTCAGCTTGGCACGTTCCTTTCTAGGTTTTCTTAAATCATGTTCTTGGCTTTTACCATTTTCTATGTCTGTATATCGTTTCTTTCTCTCTTATTCTTTGTCTTGCTGTGGTGCTGGGTGAGTGACCCCTTGCTTTGCCCTCTCCTCTTTTTCCCATTCCTTCTTTTTCTCTTTTTCTCCTTATATTTATTCTCTCTGCCTGGCATTCCCGCCTATACCTTTCCTGACTAGCTATTAAGATCTTTATTAGACCAAACTAGTGTTTTAGGCAGCTTCACAGAGTTAAACAAATGCAACATAAAAGAATGCAGCACATGTTCGCATCATTTAAACAAATGTTTCACAGCATAAACAAATGCAACACATCTTCAACTAATATTCCACAAGAGAGGAGAGTTGAGGCACATGAAAGATGCTAAGGAGACACAGAGAGAAAACACAAGGTACAAGATGGAAGAGAAGTAATGCCACATTATAAAACAGAGATTAATACTAATGAATTAATTTAAGGTGACCAAGTTCCACCATCTTTAATGAGATATTCCCTGCCTTGTTCCCCAGTGTTAACGCTGTTACGTGGGTGACTTTGCCACCATCTTAACTGAGGTCAGGTGTCTTCACTGTCATTTTAACTGAGAGCCAGGTCAGGTGACCAAGTCCCACCATCTTTACTGAAGTATACCCTGCCTGGTCCCCTGGTTTACTGATGTTTTTGTCTCTAATTTCTCTCATCGACTCTGTTGCATGTGTGTTTTATGCAGTGGCATGTCTTTGGTAGGGTTCACCAAGAGCATCTACTTCATCCAATTCCTGTTCACCCTGTGTATGTGTGTGTGTTCAAGCATGTAACTTAAATGCACCTGTGTTTACTGTTAAATGTAATTGTTAGTTCATTGCATCTCATTTCAGGTTACAAAAACAATAAGTCTCATGTTTTAAACTGGTATGTATTTTTAAATCTCTTACAAAAATACTTTATATTTAATCCAACCCTGCTCTACCTGATAAGTTGAGAGCCAGTACAGTCAAGCTTGGATCCAGCTCTCCAGGCAGATTCTGTACTGTAGTTATAACTCATCTATAAACAGCCCTCAACGGCTCGGAGATCTTGAGAATATGGCATTTAAACATTTAATTATTAAAAACCTTTCATTAAACAAGGAGACAGTTTGGCTTCTAACAGCCCTCTACTTCCTCCAAAGAAGACAGAAGACAAATGGGCACAGAACAACGTCCATCCGCAATTCGTTGCAACTGCCAAGTGTGAGCACTTGGAAAACCTGCCTTTCTTCTAAACTAAAGACCACTAGACAGTGGACAGAATTGCTGTAATCGACAGCCTAGCTTCTCAGGTCAAGGTAGGCTTGTCTTCCTACAGATATCTTAACCTACAGGATCGTCTGGAGCCTGACAGGCCCTGCGGTAAACAGCAAAAAGCAAATATAACCTTCAGTAACCATGGATGACCCTGAGGGCTCTAGGTGCCAACCAAGTAAGTTCTCTGTTGCTTTTATCAGTAACTCAAGCATAATTGCTTCCTTCCTAAAGATTTCTAATTTAGTTTGACAGCTGAGAGGTTTTGTCAGTTTAAAAGAATAGCCTCACCAAACAAATTTCAGTAAATTACAAATACAAGACCTGCAAGTTATAAAGATGTGACAAATACAAGTTATCAAATTTCTCTCTCATGCTGCCTTCCATAGTCTTAAAAACACTTTTCATTGTGCAAAAAATATCTGTCACAGTCATTCTGACATAAATATGCCACTGTTTATACAATGTATATGTCTAAAATTTCTGTTTTCACAAACCCAAAAATTTCTTGTGAGTTCCAGGGAGTCGAATTGAAGGATTCACCTTAAACAGGTCAGATACACCTCCCCTCAACTGCCTGGTCTTAAAAAAATTTTTTTAAACTTAACTTTGTCCTCTGTTCTGCCAATACCTTAAACAGGTGTAAGAGACACCTTTTTCTCTTACCACAAGAGACATTTCCATACCACAAACACTGAATAAGAGCAGAGAGACTAGCTATGCCAGGATGTGACCATTTCCCAGCCTTCTCAGGTTCCCCCCAAAGATAACACAGGAAGCAGAAAGCAGTCGTGAGAATCTGCCACTCCAATTCCTTTAACCTGTGATGCCTAACCTTCTGCCTTTTTAATATAAAAAAAAGAGATGGGAATGCAAGGATCTGTCCTGCCCCTTTAAGAAACAATTCCCACCTACTCCCTCCTCCATCTGCTGATATAGACAGATCTTCCTTCCTGCTTGCAGCCTGAGTCTCTTCCTTTTTCTGACACTCCCCCGAAGAGGCAGCTTCTGCCTCTTTCCATTCTCCCCACTTCTCCCCTTCCTCCCTCTTTGTCTCTCTCTGTGTGTCTCTCTCTGTGTTCCTTTCTGTTCTTCTCCCTTTACCCTCCTCATGAGCCCCATTTTTACCAATTGCTTGAAGAGGTGAGTGTCTAAACTCCTGGCTGGACACCCTTGCTCTTCTAGGTCCTAGCCCCCAGGGCACATCTCGTGCCTCTCCCCCACACACCACAGCCCTAACTACTGGAAAGCAACATCCTCCACCCCCATTTGCCCCCGCAACTGTCCCATACCACATTAGTAACCACCAGAGCCACAAGCCCCACCTGACTGGCTGGAGAAAGAGATGGGTAGATGACAGTGTAAGAACACATTCAACAACATAAAGAGCATTATGGCACCACCAGAGCCTAGTGGTCCTACAACAGCACGACTTGAACATCCATGACACAGAAGATAACAACCTTAAAAATAACTTTATGAAGATGACAAAGGTCCTTAAAAAAGAAATAAAAAATTCCCTTAAAGAAATAGAGGAAAAGAAAAAATGGAAGAAATCAATAAGCTCCTTAAAGAAAGTCAAGAAAAGAAATCATCAAGCAGGTGAAGGAAACAGTTCTAAACTTGAGCATTAAAATAGAGGCAAGAAAGAAAATACAAACCAAGGGAAGTGAAAAATCTGGGTAAGTGAACAGGAAGTACAGATGCAAGTGTAACCAACAGAATACAAGATATGGGAGAGAGAATATCAGGCATTGAAGATACAATACAGGAAACAGATTCATCAGTCAAAGAAAATGTCAAAACCAGTAAATTCTTAACACAAAACATCCAGGAAATCTGGGACACTATGAAAAGGCCAAACCTAAAAATAATAGAAATTGAAGAAGAAGAACTCCTGTTAAAGACACAGAAAATATATTCAACAAAATCATAGAAGAAAACTTTCTCAACCAAAAGAAGGATATCCTCCCTATGAAGGTACAAAAAGCTTCCAGAGCACTGAATAGAATCAGCAACAACATTAAAAAACGTCCCTGTGTCACATAATAATCAAAACACTAAACTGTTGGACTGGTTTGCCAGACAGAAACTTAACAGAGAAATAAGGGAACAAACAAATGTTAAGAGTCAAATAAGATCTTCACCAACCCCTCATCAGACAAAGGTCTGATCTCCAGAATATACAAAGAACTCAAGAAACTAGACACTAAAACTCTAATTAACCCAATTAAAAAATGGGGTACTGATCTGAACAGAGAATTCACAACAGATGAACTTCGAATGGCCAGAAGACACTTAAGGTCATGCTCAACCTCCTTAGCGATCAGGGAAATGCAAATCAAAACCACTTTGAGATACCATCTTACACCTGTCAGAATAGCTAAAGTCAAAAACACCAATGATAGCCTATGCTGGAGAGGATGTGGAATGAGGGGAACACTCATCCGCTGTTGGTGGGAATGCAAACTTGTGCAGCCACTGTGGAAATCAGTGTGGCGGTTTCTCAGGAAACTGGGAGTCAATCTCCCTCAGGACCCAGCAATTCCTCTCCTGGGAATATACCCTAGAGATTCCCGAACATACTACAAAAGCGTTTGTTCAACTATGTTCATAGCAGCACTATTTGTAATAGCCAGAACCTGGAAACAGCCTAGGTGCCCCTCAATAGAAGAATGGTTAAAGAAGGTGTGGAACATATACACATTAGAGTTTTACTCAGCGGTAAAAAATAATGACATCTTGAATTTTGCATGCAAATGGATGGACATAGAAAACGCTTTACTGAGTGAGGTAAGCCAGACCCAAAAAGAGGAACACGGTATGTATTCACTCATAAGTGGATTCTAACCATAATTAAAGGTCTTTGAGCCTATTATTCGTGATCCTAGAGAAGCTAAATAAGAAGACGAACCTGATGAAGATTATTTAGCTATCCGCCAGGAGGTAGGAAATAGTCAAGAGTCCCAGGTAACCTTGGGTGCATGGGGGGTGGGAGGGTTGTTGGAAGGGGAGAGGGTTAGAGAGAAGGGAGTAGGGGAGGAATGGAGAAAGCTTGGTTGACCGGGATGGGGGGAAGGGAGGAAGGATGAATATGGGATCAGGGA